TACCTACCCGGTGCGTTAGACTACATCCTGCATTATGCAACTTAGACTGAATAGATAGACTTACCGTTTTCGTTGAACGCCTTCCCTCCGGCGTATCTCAGCGAATAAGGACGGGTGACTTGAGCAAATCCCGTGATCTCACCCAAAGTCCGGATCCATGGAAGTAGGGTGGAGTAGGGGAGAGGTTCGGTAGGGGAGATATCCCAACCATTCAGAGTCTGCACCGCTTTCCGAAACACGGGAACATTGTCCAACGTCCGATTCAGGCGTAATGGGAGCTCATTGCGGCCTGGCGGAATCTTGAGTCTGCTCAATTCCTCTGGCGAGGTTAGATTATAGGCTGCAAACGCCCGATCGCGGAAGAGCAGGCCGAGGAGGAAGACGTGAGGACTGAAGAGGAGCGTCTGATCGAACATAATCTCAGGAAGGGGGAAGGTGTTCCTTAAGGAAAAGTCAGCGCATGATTTTCTTGTACACAATGATCACGTACAGGTCTTTGATACCAAGAAACTCCTTTGTAAATTCAAAAGTGAACTCCAGCAGTACTCGATGAGGGCCACCCTCAGGATCACGTAGAAGTGTAACTTGTATATGGCGATAACAGAGACTGAGGAGAGCCTGGGGCCGGTTCGCTGTAAACCCACCAAGTTGTAGATAGAGCTGGGCTTGTATCCTATAGCGACCGTGAGGATATCTCTTTTCGGTTGTTACTAGATTCGTTTGCAGAACTTGAGCCAGATCCTCGACATACATGCAGGCTTTATCTCGACCGATCTTCTTTAGATCGTGTTTCTTCGCCAGCTTCCTTAGTACCTGTTAGTTATGTTAGATATATATGCTCACGTGAGACTTTAGTTAGAAAGCCAGGTCAATGTACCTTATGCATGCTCCGATTCATCTTTCCGTCTAGTTTCACACCAGTTGCTCTTTCATACACAAGCCGGAAAACCTTCCAGTACGTTCCTAGGGAGCTAGAGAATTTGGTTCCTCGGCGTTTCCTCCCACCTTTGCCCTGGCGCTGGCTAAGTAGCCAGTCAAAGAATGTGTATAAAGTCCTAACCGATACGGTTGCGTAAGCACGATAATAGTCTTTCTTGAGGTACGTCCAGCACCTATGCTGGGTCAGTCCATGGATCTAACGCAAGCTCCAAGGAGATAGGAGACCTACTGGTTCCACTGATCTTCCATACGATTGAGCAAGCGAGTACTGCTTTCCTTATAGTCTTCTTTGATGTATTCTTGTTCGTTGAAATTCTCCAGTTGTTGAAGGTAGTATTCAGGCGGATGATCGTCGTTGGGGAAGACCCATGCTTCATTCTTTTCGTTTTTGTCGGCAAATTCGTCTATGTCTGTCAGATCCGTATCCAGCTCTACACTATGGTCTGTGTCAGACGCAGAGTAATCGCTGCTGTTGGAGAAATTTTTAACGGATGAGTATTGTGGCATGTCGCACAACATATGCAAAAAAGAAGCGTGAGAGAGAGGCAAAGCAAGTACACGCGGAGCTAATAGAAGCAGAGCATGCGCCTATAGTTGGGTGTCTGAGGCCAAGTGTGAAGGGAAACAAGAGTAACACAACGAGACTTTGAGTTTGAAGGAGAATGCAGGCTGCAAAGGAAACAAGAAAATGAAAAGAAGGCCTGGTTTGTATTGCTGCAGACGGGGAGGAGAGGGCCTTTAGTACTCCATCAGCAGTCCGATCTTGAATTCGGTTAACATTCACTTATAGTGTTTAAAAAATTGAGTCAGGTCACAGGCATGCTGCAGCATGCCTAACGAGAGAATAAATTAGCCCTTGCACTTATTTAACGCTTACGCTAGCTAAGGTAGGAAAGCCGGAGAGGTTTCCACTCGGGCCACTGCCCACACGATTAGGGGGGTTTTGTGGCAAGTTAGCATCCATAAACGGCGTCACAAGCTACCCAAATCAGCAGCGAAATTGCCGTTAGATTGTTTAAGATAGTAATCTATATTAACTATTTAATTTAAAGTTAAATAAGATAGTGTTGTAGAACTAATAGGTCGGTTGGTCGGTGACTAACCTGACCTAGATTACATAATCCGTCCGATCCTTTGATCTATCTAATCTTATTAGATGGAGGAATGGTAGATTAGATGAAGACTGAGATAGATTACTAAATAGAGTTAGACTTAGTTAAATAAGTATATAGTCTGACCAATCTACTAATTTAGATTAGTAGATTAATCAGTCTATTATTCTTGATATATTCTATTTGTTTAAAGTTCTCTAGCCTTTAATAGTTATGAGCCCGGCGCTATAAGATCGTGGTATGATTCTCCCTGCGCATTTTATACTGCTAAGACTTTGAATAAAAAATTAATTACTCTATCGTTAATCGACCCTCTTTAAATTATCTATTACTATAGATTACGACAATTAGATCGTTGTAACTATAATCCTTTTAAAAACTAGAAACGACTAGCTAATATAGTTTACCTAGCTCTATTCTTATGCCTAAGATAAGAGTATCTGGCACTTAATTAATCTAGATCTTTCTACTGTTCCTCTAATCTAGGACTGTGAACTAGTTTACCCTAAGATTTTAATTAAGCTATCGCCTGTACTGGTTTTACGCTTAGAACCATCTGATAAGGAAATTAAAGAACACTAATAAGTAACCCTTTAATACGAAGTAAAGTTGAGAGCATATAAGCTAGCTACTACTAACTATTTAGAAGATATTAATTAATATAAGGTCTAATCCGTAAAGTGGAATCGCGATGTTGCTTGTCTTAGTAATATAGGAGAGTGGATTTCTAAGACTATATCCTAGGATTATCTCTCTGTAGTTATACTTAAGCTTCTTAATACTAGATCTTTAACCTCTTAGGCTATTATTTGAGAACTAAAAAGCGATCTAGTACTAATAGATTAGGCTAACACGGACTGGGTTAGGGAGTAGTATCGTACGTATCTTAATAAAGCTAAGTATGGCTAGGTTAGTCCTAAACGCTAGTTTAACGAATAGAAACTTCTATATAGAAAGGCTTAGGCTTTTAATATACTGGACGTTAAGAGTTAGCTTACTCTTACTAACTTTCTTAATACGTTAGTACTATATATTGCACTAGAATTTACTAGGAGTACCTACCTACTAATAGCTTAAGACTATACTAGAGGAAGACTGGAGATAATAATAGAAGAGCTAGCGTAGTCGTTTACTATTCTACTCTAACGTAATATAGCTATAGTAGTAAAGAGTAAAGAATATAGAATATTTATATTAATTTAAAATGTAGGGTTATAGCCTAGGCTGAAACTAGCTAAAGAAACGTTTACGTGCCTATGCAAACTACGAGGATCGTACTTATAGAACCTACTAATCTGTAGAAGGTTAGAGACAGCGCTAACTGGATTAACTAAAGTTAGACTACCGCTAATTATACTCTCTAATATGGATTAGAAGAAGATATATAAAAGGATTAATAAGCTAGAGTAGGCTACGCTACTTAACTATCTTAAGTAGAATAGCTAGAAGATAGTTATAGCTATAGTTACGATCTTTAATTATAAGAAGTAAAGAGGATACTCTAAATACTTTATTACTATAGTACTAATTAATCTAGTACTATTCTAGAAGAAGGAAGAAATGCTCTTAGGGATCTATAGTACTATGCTATACGAACTCTACCCTCTTTTAACGAGCACGATCCTTGATAGTAGAGAGGCAGTTTACGTGGTTAATAACAAAAGCTTATTTATTCTAGGTACCTTTAAGCTAATAACGGAACTTAAGATAGTTAACGTAGGAATAGAATCCCTTACTATTAGAGGAATAGGGGATTGCTTAATTAAGAACTTCTTTAATAGCGATCGCGGACTAAAGACTGAGGATCTGTTACTTAAGAACGTTAAGCTAGTTAATCGTTTCTATATTACAGTAGGGTGACAAAAAAAAAACGTAGTAAAAAAAGTTATTATTTTTGAAAAGATAATTACTCAGCAGCTATAGTGGCTATAGATATAAAAGTTAGTGCGTTATAAAGCTAAGATCTTCTAGTCTTTTACATAGGTGTCACGTGACATTCTACTGCAGCATTAGGTAGATCTATAATAACTTAAATACTTAGAAAAATTCTAAAAGATTTTGAACTTTTAGAACTCTATAGTAGATAGAGCTATATAGCTAATAGTTATATATATAGTAGTAGTAGATATATAGATCACGTGATAATAGTCTTAGCTACTCTAGCTTATATATATAATAGATTCTTAATACATCTAGTACTTAGCCTATACTTACATAAGCGGTATATTAGTCAGCAATTAGTCAGAATATCATATATATATCACTCTTTTAATCCTTAGTCTCTTAGATCTTTATTTCCTCTAGATAGATCTAAAACTTTCTAAATTTAAAGCTGAAGTTGATCGGCTTATTAACGCCAATATAGCTATTAAAAACATTTCTATCTACTTTTAGAAGCCTCTAAGATCTATCTACGACGCTATTTATCGTATTAATAAAAAAAAGAAAAACATTACTAAGCAAGAAAGAGCTAGTAGAGGCCGGGTTTCAAAGCTTTCTACTAGGACTAGAAGAGCTATTAATAGGGATATAACTAAGAGCCCAAAGAAGACAAATTCTAGATTAATTCGCGAGAATAATCTAGAAGTTTCTACTAGAACTCTTTAAAGAGTTCTTAATGTAGAAGGCTAAATAGTAAATATCTACTCTAAAAAATTAACGTTAAACGCGTCTAGAGCTAGAGAAAGACTAGCCTACGCTAAGAGACAGCTAAAAGAGCTTTCTAATATTGATTTTAAAAAGATTATATTCTCAGACGAGTGTGGAGTTAAGCGTAGGCACGGATCTCGCTCAGAATATACTAGAAAACGCGGTAATTCCAAAGGTAGAAGAACTCTAGTTTCTAGTAAAACTACTAGTACGTTTTAAAAACTCCTATATATATAATATATATCTACTAGATATATATAATTATTATATATATATCTTATCTATATCTAGCTTACTAATTAAGTTCTAGGTCATAATATAACTATCCAAGTTTGGGCCGCAATTTAGATAGGTAGAAGATTAGATATAGTAGTAATAAAAACACTAAAATCTACTATTTCTCATCGCTCTCACCACTATATTAGGCGGTGTCTAATACCCTATATAAAACTAAAAATAAAGAGAGATAAGTTTAATATATATATTTTAAATATATATTTGTATTTTTCTTTTAATATTTAATAATACATTTCTACCTAAGTATGTTAAATTATAGAGCTAATTTGAAACTATTTAGGCTAGAGTTTTCAGCAAGATAACGCTAAGATCCATATAGCTAAGAACGTTCTAGAGTGGTTTCAGCGTAACCATATTAGACTTTTTAAGCATCCGCCATATAGCCCAGATCTTAACCCAATAGAAAACGTATGGAGCTTACTTAAGGACCGGCTTACTAAGCTACCTAGTAGGTCTCTTGGCGATGGCTCTACAGATGAGAGTATAAATACTTTTATTAGCGTAATTAAACAAGAGTGGGCTAATATTCCACAAAGAGATATAGATAATTGTATCTTATCTATAGAAAACCGATATACTAGAGTAGTAGAAGCACGAGGCTGGTATACAAAGTATTAGTTAGTAGCTAGAAGATAATAGAAAAAATCTTGTTTTAAAACAAAGTATTTCTATATCACAAAAAATTGATAGATAATATGTCTCTATCTTAATATATATTATATATCTTACTAATCTAACTATATATAGCACTTGTTAGTATATAAGATCTAAAAATAGCAGCGCGAAATATTTAGTTAGAATCTAGAAAAATTAGTTCTCGAACTTTAGCATGTTTTGTAGCCAGGAATAAGCTTCCTAAGCATTACGTAATATAGTCATTATAAACTACTTAATATCTAGTTTTCAATGGACTAACCCGTTTAAGTATAGGTGCTCTATAAGCTGAGTTATCATCTTTTAAAAACTATTACTTTTTTAACTACGTTTTTTTTTTGTCACCCCCCTGTATATAAGTTATTCTACTAAGTAGTGTCTTATGTTACTAAATATAATCTATTAGAGTTAGAAAGCGCTTATAAGAGGTAATATAAGTTAGTCTCTCTTTATAAATTACTAATCTATACTAATATTAACTATTTAGATTAATAATTTCTATAATAAGCACATTACTTTAATTAGTAAGATGATTAACTATAAGAAAGGCTAATTAAGCTACTCTAATAACGATCCCTTTAAAGAGAGCGTATACTCTCTTACTCTTAAGCTATTACGCCCCTATATCTTATTTTACTATTCTCTCTCTTCTCTAATTTATACTAAGAAACCTTACTAATTATCTATGTATTAGATGCTAAGTAAGTACTATTAAGAGTACTTAGATAAGTATACTTTTTTAGCTTCTTATTCAAGTATTTCTTAGTCTAGTTATAAGTCTACTTATTAATATAA